GCATAAGGGAGGATAGGGCCACCGAGAAGCTGGCCTAGAAGCTGGCGCACTCCGTCTGTCTCTGTCTCTCTCCCTCTCTCTCTGTCTCTGTCTGTCTCTGTCTGTCTCTCTCTCTCTCACTCTCTCCCTCGCAGACCCACCGCGGGCGAAGAGAGAGACAGAGCGGCACTGTTCGGAATCGGTCTGCTGCGTCGCACCCATTTCGACGGTTTGCCTATTTTTGCGCCCCACCACCTCCTCGAGGCGACATTCTATCAGCGTGTCTTCCTCCGAGTCTTCACACACTCTTTCTCTCTCTCTCACACACAGACACTCACAGGTGCACACTTTGTCTGCTTCTTCATTTTCCGCTGTGAACGCAATTTGCTATGCCTGCTCGCTCTGCTGTCGTCGCGTCCACTCTCTGTCCCAAGTGACTCGGGCACAGTGGGCCAGAGGACCGGTGGAGGCGGCCAAAACTCTAGACGCGTTTCGAGCTCCAGAGGCCCTAAATGGGCCTCGAACTGAGCGTGTGACCCCGCCACCCTCCTCGTTCGGAGAGGAATCCATTGTTGGGGTCACACGTTGGTTCGAGTCCCATCTAGCGACTCCAGAGCTCAAAACGTGTCTGGAGTTTTGGCCGCCTCCCGGTCTTCTGGCCCACTGTGAGAGGCGCCTTGCTGGCCGATGCGTCCGATGCATCGAGGGGGGCCGGTGTCGGGTTGCACCCCGACAGCGTGGCACGTGCCGCTGCGTGCCGCAGCGTGCCGCCGCCCCCGTTTCGCGGACACTGCAAGGCTGAGCTGGCCGCCACCGCCTTCCAGGAACGCTGCACGACGCACTGGGCCGGAAGCCTGCCAGGCTAGGCGCCGCCACAGAGATAGACGAATAGATCGCCAAGATAGGCCTGCAGAAGGTGGAGTCGCGTCTGGTGTCATTCCGGGCACGCTGCACTCTGATTCCGAGAGTCGGTTTTCGTGGCTCTGTCTCCCTCGCACCTACACGGAACGCCCCAGAGCGGCGAAAACGACTCTCGGAATCAGTCTACTGAGTGGCAGTTGAGTGGAGTGTTGTCCTAGTTGGTTGCCTCGTTACTTGGACCGCGCAAACTGGGATTCCTAGTCAAAGACACTGCACCGTGTCATTTGCAGACGAACGATTGCAGTCATTGTCCAGCGACTGCACTGTACAAGTACCAAACACGCACTCTCTCTCTCTCTCTCTCTCACACACACACACACACACAACGGCCGTAAAAATGGAAAGCGATTTGAAATTCGGCTGCCAGTGTAGGGGCTTCGGGGAACTGGGCGGCTCCCGTTCGTCACGCCGAGTCGAAGGCTGGACTAGGCCGGCTCCTGGAAGGAACGGCGCTATCGCCTGCCGCGCAATCAGGGCTTCAAGTATGTAGAGCAACGCCAGATCCGCACAAAATGAAAAAAAAATCATCAAAAAAAAAACACTTAGGAAAAACTGAAAATATCTATATATGGTGCAATGAATTTTCATGATAAGTTACAAAGTCAACTGCACTGATAAAATACGATGGAAAATATTCTCTATAAGAATTGTAGAGCTTATGCGCGTAGAACACAAAAGAAGAAAAGCACACAGCCAAAACGATTTCCCCCACCTTTTTTTGCGCAGCCAACTACCACCCAACTCCATGGTGAAACTATTCCAAGCTAAATGAGCCGGACTGATGGGCGGGCAAGCGGGCGGGCCACCTCTCTCTATTTCTGAGCTCGCCGTGCCGCCTCCCTCGCACTCACTCCCCGGCCGGGGTCACACCGTGCCGGCACCGTGCCGCCGCCGACACACATCTCCATGCCCAATGTACCTCATTCCCTCTATCACCGACCGCTATCTCCCGCTCCTGTGATGAGCTCCCCCCCCCCTTTCCCCCTCCCCTCCTCCCCCGAGACGGCGGGTGGTGACGCACCGTCAGTCAGCTGAAGCTATAGATGGCTTTGAGGTGCAGCTGCAGGTGGGCCAGCAGAGTCGTCCTCGTCGCTCTGTCTCTCTCGCACTCACGGGGCGGCCCGTACTGGTGCGAGAGAGACAGAGCGACGAGAACGCACGGAAGCTTCAGCGGGGCGCAGACCAGTGAGCTGAGCGCCCATATCCGCTTTTGCCTGGTTTTCGGAGACGGGTCCGCCTCTCTCGTTCGCAAATCGGACAGACAGACAGACAGACAGACAGACAGACAGACAGACAGACAGACAGACAGACAGACAGACAGATAGACAGACCGACAGACATGCAGACAGGGAGTCACACCAACAGACAGACGGACGGACATACAGGCTGGCGGCCGGGCAGATAGACCCTCGTGTTTGTTTCCGAATCCGCGTCCATAATGATGGTGTTAGTTGGCACGAGTTGGCGCCCCTCCCCTAACCTTCACCCTGCCTGCCTGCCTGCCTGCCGCGCCGGCCGGCCTCGCCGTGTTCCCACATTAAGAGCACCCTTATTGATTGGCGGACGCTCCCCGGCGGAATTCTCATTTCTTACGATTTACCGACACAATTATTTCTGCAGTTTGTTATTCGGCCGCGCCGCGCGTCGTCTGGCCGTCGTCCCGGGCCCGCGGGTTCGAATCCCGGCGGCCGCGCGATACTTTTCACTTTCTTTTCGCGTGGCGTCGTCGTCGCCGGCAGGGAAAAGTGAGTTCTTCTCTTGAAGCAGATGGTCCTGGAGGCGAGGCGGGCGAGCCTGAGGCAGCCCGGGGTAACGCTCTGTGACGGCGCAAGCGTGTGTGACACGGCCGTCACGGCCGTCACGGCCGCGTCGCGAGCATCGCCTGTCACGCACCGTCCAGGTCGCCTACACTGAGATGGAAAGTGGAGGCGGCAGGGTCTTTTTTCGTCTGCTTTTTTTTTTTGCTGGGTCGGCCCGGCGGCGTAATAGACCTTAGGAAGGCATTACTGCTTTCCCGTGTACTTTTATTTTTTCTTTTTCGCCGCGGCAGATTCAAATGCGAAACGCCCAGTCTTCGTCCGGCCCCTGCGGCCTCCGCGCCGCCCTTCCGAACGTCACACCAAAGAGTAAAGCAAGGCGGTGACACATATTTCGAAATCCGCGACTGGCCGGCGGGCGGGGCGGCGGGGCGGCGGGCACCCCGACGGGGCATTCGTCGGGCCACGCCGCTCCTCTCGTCTGGCTGACCCGAAATTAAAATACCTTCTCACGACCCGCCGGCCCGACGAACGCCCCACTTCAAACACGGCCTTCGTTTTTCCGTTTGCCATTTCCGAAATGTATCGGGCACCGCCTTATGGTGTGTGCCGTCCGTCCCGCCGCCGTGTCCACAGCCTTGTTTGGCCGGCAAACAAGGCACAGTGGGCCAAAGACCGGGGGCGGCGGCCAAAACTCTAGTCGCGTTTTGAGCTCCAGAAGTCGCTCTATGGGACTCGAACCGAATGTGTGACCCCACCAACGGGTAGCTTTCCGAACGAGGAATCCATTGGTGGGGTCACACGTTCGGTTCGAGTTCCATTTAGCGACTCTGGAGCTTAGAACGCGTCTAAAGTTTTGGCCGCCACCACCGGTCTTCTGGCCCACTGTGAAGCGGGCTGGCCAAGGAAGGACCCGGAAGGCGGTGGGGGCGACTAGCGCGCCCTCTAGCGGTCATGTAGTCGAAGCGGGCAACGAGTTTGGGCGCGAAATTTGGGTCGCAGTCGCGCTCTGATTGGCCACTTCAGTGAGCCGCGGCCGAGTGGTTGACACACCCACCGCCGTGCCGCCTGGCGGTGCGCTTGATAACAACACCTCAAACACTCAACACACGCCGAAAAAAAGTTTGAAATTTGGAACGAAACGGGCGTTGATTTTCCAGCGTGCCCGTCATCGATGAGACTCCGTCGCTTCACGGAGCTTCTCTCCAGTCGAAGAGCCCCTGCCGCTGGAATGCCTCCGAGGCTCGCCGTGGCTTGCCGTGGCCCGCCGTGGCCCGCCACGCTCTGCATTCGAGACAGTCCGGCCGCTCGGCAAAATATTCCGAGCACAGCCGCCCCCCCGACACCGACATTTTTATTTCATTCTCGGCCCGGATTCTTGGCTTTTCTCTTTTTCGGTTTTCACGAAATGAGAGAAGGGGGAGAAAAATAATGGAAAACGTCGGGGCGGGCGATGCGTTGAATATTTGTGTGCGTATTCGCTCGCTACCGAATCCGGCCGCTCGGCGGCAAAAACAAGTCCTGACGACGATCGACAGAGGTCACGTCTGCCGTCTGAGGAATCGCTCTGACTCTCTCGCGCCCCTTCGGAACGGCCCAGGAGTGCGACAAGGACAGAGCGAATCGGAATCGCGCTGCTACACTGGCATTACACGTTGTCTCGCAGTTAGCGCCGAACTTGACTCGACTTGACCGCGGGGGCGCCTGTAATTGCCAACGGGTTCCGCCCACCCACTCCTACATGAACACCGTGTCCGTGGCCCGCCCCGCCCCGCCTGCCCCGCCCCGCCCTGCCCCGCCCCGCCCCGCCCCGCCACCATGTCCGAACCGCCGTTTCCGCGCGGCCGGCAACGCCCCGGCACCCCCAAAGGCCGTGACCGCCTCAGCCTCGACGGCGTGCCCCTCGTGGCGGACACCGCGGCGTCGACGCGGGGGACACCGGGCCACTCAGTGGGCCAGAAGGCTGGCGCAGGCGGCCAAAACTCTAGGCGCATTTTGATCACTAAATGGCACTCGAACAGAACGTGTGACCCCACCAATGGATTCGTCGTCCGGAGAGCAATCCATTGGTGGGGTCACACGCTCGGTTCGAGTCTCATTTAGTGATTCTGGAGCTCAAAACGCGTCTAGAGTTTAGGCCGCCTCCACCGGTCTTCTGTCCCACTGTGCGGCGCGTGGAGGGCCACCCCTTCGGCAACTCCCTGCCTCAACCTCGTGCCGAGTCCACTGCGGCCAGAGCGAGCACGCCGTGGAGGTCCATGATGAGCCGTCCTGTCTGGACGGCCAGGCACTCCACGGCGTGCGCTGGCTGGCGCTGGTGCTAGCTGGCGGCAGCTCACTTACGTGTACGAGGAGTAGGGCAGCGTGTCCAGGTGGTGCTGGCCACCCTGGTGGTGGCCCTGGTGGCCCTGGTGGCCGTGGTGGTGGTAGGACGGTGCTTCGAGCCCCTGGGGCCCCTGCGCCCCGTGGGGGGCCGTGCCGGTGAAGCCCGCCTCCGGGAAGCCGGCGGCGTCGAGCACGCCGGGGTTGGAGGTCGGGCCGGGGGCGGCGGGGGCGGTGGGGCCGGCGACGGCCAGGGTGCGGTCCTGGTCCCTCTCCAGGGTGAACACACGGCGTCGGCGGTGCCTGCTCGCCTGCTCCTCACGAGCTACTCCACGGTATCCATGTTGTGGCTGGCGAGCACTTCACACACACACACACTCACACACAAACACACTGCACTAGTCGCGGGCGAGCGCGCGGGCGCTGCGCGGAGCGCTGTCCTGGCCTGGCTGGAGCGCGGGGCGTCCGGTCGTGTCCGCGCGCGCTACGATCTCACGCCGTACTGAGCGCGACGGCGCGGCGCGGCGCGGGGCGGCGAGGTGTCGGGGAAGGGGGCGTTATCCCCCCACTGGGCGCCGCGCCGCGGCCCCCACCGCGGCCCCCACCGCGGCCCCCACCGCGGCCCCCACCAGGGCCCCCGCCGGGCTCCCCCATTGGCTGCGCGTGCTAACCGGGACCCGCCGGGGCCCCCGCGGCCCCACCAATGGCTCCGCGGCGCAAGCGGGGCTCCGGGCGGGGTCCGGGGGCCTCCCACCGCACCACGCGCCCGCCGCGCCCGCCGCGGAGCAGACACCCACACGCGGCCGCGTCACGCCGGGACCACCGGCACACGCGCACGCCGGCCCACAGTCTCACGCCCATGGACGACACTTTAGGGCGACGGACAGGCACGCAGGCAGACAGACAGGCAGACAGACTGACAGACCGACAGACAGTGCACTCGATTACTGAGGTGGTCCGTAACCAGGGAAAGTAGTCGCAGAAATCCCACGATGCGTCTCGGCCATGAAGGGTTTGCTCGCCTCCCGGTTCCGTTCCTTGAGGTAGGCAAACCTTTCTACACCGAAGGCTGGTGTGCGGTTGGAGTTATCGTTGAAAGTGAGGATGCTGCAAAGCGGTTGACTCTAGGCTTTGCAAAATTCCGTCTCTTTCTGATGCACGCTTTTGGCCTACCCTCCAGGCGTCAATGTCTCTCGCACTGGAGCGGCTGGACAAGCCCTGCGTTCAGGTCCCACCGGGCTCGCGAGGAAGATGTTGTGAGGTCGCGCGATCAAGAAGCACAACTGCAGTGCTCTGCGCAACAAGGTCCCATCGCGCTATGACTAATGTCAACTAAGCTGAGCCTTGGGCGAGCATGTCATGGTGATTAAGCCTCGAGTGCAGTGTCCCAGTACACACAGCCGCTGAGTTTAGGGCGGGACGGCGGCGGCCCACACCGAGTCCACCCACCTCACACGACGAAGTACACAGTCGGCGCGGTCTAACTTCGGACCGTGGCGTCCGTCGGGGCGGGGCTGGGTGGGGCTGGGCGGGGCTCAGCTTGTCGCGGACGAGCCATTGCAGAGATAATTGGGTTACGTCCCGGCCAGCCACCCTACAGTGCGGCCGTCGCCGTGGGAACCGGCCGAGGGGCACTGCACTGGAAGGTGTGTCAAGGTACGCTCCGAAACTTGGCCCCAAAATCTAAGACTTCGACGAAGTCAGGAAAACTTTCAACTTCAAAATTAGCTACAGAATTATAAAAATTAATTTTAATTGATGAAGGTAGCGTGAGGACGGAACAACAGTCAATCTTCTCATGGTAGTTAGAAATGCTCAAACTCTTAAAAATTGTGAAACCTTTAAGACTCTTTTCCTTGTAAAATCTAAGACATGGAAGCTAAAATCAATCTTCCAAAGAAAAAATAAATATCGAAAACCGTTTCTTTTCTCATGGTGGCTCCAGAAATGGACACTGATCGTCCGTCGTCCCTCCCGATGAAAGCGCTTCCGAATTGCAACTCAGCGTCTTTGCGACTTGGCGTCGCAGTGGACTGATTCCGAGAGTCGCTTTTGTCGTTCTGTCTCTCTCTCACTCCTGGGGCGTCCCGGACAGGTGCGAGAGAGACAGAGTCTACAAAATCACGGACTCATCGGAACGGACGCGGCGCGTGCCGGCCGGGGGCAGCGCGGCAGCGCGGTGTGGCCGCGGCGCGCCGCGACGCCCCGTCAGCCCGGCGACGGCTCGTGACGACTCGTGACGACGCGTAACGACGCGTGACGCGGCGTCGTGACGGCGCCGTGACGCCGCTTGTGACAGCGCTGTGACAAGGGGCCGCACGGCGTCGCACGACGCGCGGCGCCCCTTGTTGGTGAATCGGAACACGCGCTGCGGCCACCGTTTAACACTCGCAAAAGGAAATAATTATTAAAAATAATGAAATTTTAAAACAAAGTTATCTTTTTCCTTTAAAAAAAATTAAAAAGAAAGCGAATTTTAAAATTATTTTCCGTTTTTTTTCCAGTGTCGATGGCGCCGTCGGATGCGCGAGATTTTTTAGTGAGGGGAAACGCTTCTTCCTCTGCCTGCTGTGGAAGGTGCGGCATTTATGGGCGCGTGTAAGTATAGCGGTTATGTGCATTCGAGTGTGTCGGAGGGAAAGCCCCGCACAGTGGCAACACACGACTCTGGATCATACTTACATGGACCGCCTCACCCACACACACTCATTCACACACACACACACACACACACACACGTGTGCGTTTTGGTGAATTGCGATGTTTGTATTGCAGGTCGAGCCCGCGCGGTGGCGATTTCGATCACGACACACCATACTTCGCTCCACTTCCTACCAATGGCAGGCGCCCCCCCACACTCTGACTGACGCTGCAGGGCGTCACTAGGGGGCGTCGCGGGCGTCGCGCTTGGCCGGGCCCAGGACTTACTTCTTGACTTGTGGAGTCCTTCGTAAGTACGTCTGGAAGCGTCCGCACCACTGCCCCCCCCCCTCTCACTCCCCTCGCGGCGTGCGTTGACCCCAATCCATGCGGTTAGTTACGAGGGAAAAAAAAAGATTCAGAACTCGAACCCATGCATTCCAGCATTGTGAATTTCCCGCGAAAATTATGACTTGTCTGTGATTACCAAACGGCGAGAGATGCAGTACAAGCGTAGTGCACTTATCGGTTTGGTTTCGAAATGAGATGCCCGACGCTTCTTCCTTCACACTTGTTACCGTAACGTGTTCCGTTTGCGAGACACGCCGCCGGTTCGTTACCGCTGCATCCTGCCTGGGTCCTCTGGATCCAGGGTCCTGGGTCCTGGGTCCAGGTCCTGAGTCCTGGGCGTGGCGCCGGCCAACCCCCGCGGGCCAGCACCGCTAGCGCCACAGCGGCGCCTTTTCGAAACACAGGCCTTGGGCAACCTCCAACCTCTCCCCAGCCAATTGGGGGGCTGCTCCCTTTGTCTGATAACGCTGAGGCAACACCCGCAGATAAGGACCTCGACGTCCTGCCGGTCCTGCCGTCGCACTCTGTCTCTCTCGCACCCCTGCGGAGCGCCCCGCGAGAGCGAGAGTGACAGAGCGATGACACGAGGGGTCCTGCCGACAAAAAGCTACAAAGGGGCCCGGCCCAATTGCTGAAACGTTTTCGGCCATTTTCAGCAAGTGGGATCCAGAGAGGAACTCGGGACTTCCCTTGCGCGTCGCACAGAGGGCCAGAAGATCGGAGCCGGCGGCTAAAACTGTGGACGCGTTTCGAACTCCAGAGTCGCTAGGCAGGGAACCGAGCGTGTGGCCCCACCAATGCATTCCTCGATCGGAGAGCAATCCATTGGTAGGGTTACACGTTCGGTTCGAATCCCATTTAGCGGCTCTGGAGCTCAAAACTCGTCCGAGATTTCGACCGCCTCCACCGATCTTCTGGCCCACTGTGCGGCGCCTTCTCGTCATGTGTTGCAGGCCGTTCCAGGCTGTTCCAGGCCGATGGCGTGTGTTTCCTGCCTGGACTTCACTTCCGCTTTGACCGTTCCTCGCTCCTCCGTTCGGCCCTCGACCTCCCTCGGCGGCGTGCTGCCCCGGGCTGCCCCGGGCTGCCCTGCCTCTGGCGCCTCGCCTCGCCGCGCTCTCTCTCTCCCTCTCGCTCGCACTCATGGGGCGCCCCGTGCGGGCGCGAGAGAGACAGAGCGACCTCCTGCTCGGAATCAGACTGCTGCAGTCCCTTCATGCGAGAGGTCTCCGCTTCGCGCCGCTCCGGTTGCTGCAACCCCCTCCCCCTCTCCCTCGCCCTCTCCCTCCCCCTCCGCATCCTCCGGCAGTCATTGGAACGTCTACCGCACGGCGCTGCAATCTGGAGTGATCCGTGTGTACCCTGCTGGAAAGGTCGTCCTGGAATAGGGTTGCCGTGTCCTGGAATAGGGTTGCCGTCGTCCGGGAATAGGGTCGCCATCGTCCTGGAATAGGGTTGCCGTCGTCCTGCAATACAGTAGCCCTTGTCCTGGAAATTGGTCGCTGCTGTTGCTAGGAGACGGCTGGTACAAGGGAAGTCCCAGAGGTCGGTCCATACAGTTCACCTGCCAACTCGCAAAGTTTTCCCGCTGCGCTGATTTTTCCAATTCACGCAGGCAGCTTCTACGAGCACTGGCGCGTGCCGCCACAGACATACAGACAGACGGACAGACAGACAGACGGACAGACAGACAGACAGACGGGCGGAGACGGTCAGGCAGACAGGAGGAGAGGTCGTTTGTAGGACACTGCCCCTTGCTGCTGTCAGGTCCTACTAGAGCGTAAATGACTTCCCATTCAAGAGGCAACATCAGAATGAACATCGCCTCGCGTTCGGCAATGACTGGTCGAAGCCACCTCGCCGGAAAGAGTCACTCATCTCTCTCACTCTGCAGGGCTCTGGCGGGGCACTGGCGAGGCACTGCAGGGCTGCGTGCGCTAGTTACGAGTGTGTTGTGCGCACGCGTCCACCCCGCTTCCTCGTCGGAGGCAACGGCTGCACTGCAAAAACAATCAACAACAAAAATACTACAACCAGAGGACCAACCGCGTTTTGGTGGCATCCTCGCAAGAAAGAGGCAAAATAAAAAGTGAAAATATAGAGATATCGTAATTATGTTTTTGGTTTGAGTTGGTATTCAACGAGACAGAAAATATGAGTTACCAGAAGCGGAGCTAATTATTTAATTAATCGGCACCTTATCATCGCACCGTTATCCCCACAT